TATATATATATATATATATATATATATATATATATATATATATATATATATATATATATATAAAAGTTCCACTCTCGACCTTACCTCAACCATCTAACCCTCTCATCTCTTTTCTTATCTCTCACTCTCTCATATCAATTGAAAAATATAGAAGCCTAAACCTCTAGAACATAGCCCTCCACCACTAAAACCATCGGTCGCCGCCGGAACCATCAGACCGCCATCTTTTCGTACTTCTCGACTCTCTCATCCCGTTGCTTCTCTCTACTTCGTCTTTTTCCTTTCGTGGCCCGATCTGATTGTTTATCGTCATCCAGTCTTGCGGCGGTCGATGGTGGCTTTAGAGCGGTAGTCGTAGCAGAAGATCTGGATCCGATGGTGTTAGCTTTAGGGTCTTGTGGTGGTGTTGGCTTCAATCGGTGGTAGCAATTGATCTGGATCAGATGATGGTGGTCGCTTCCAAGCGACGATAGTGGTGTATGTGGTGTCTGTTGGCGTTCTGGTCTTGTTGGAGTTTTGGTCTCGCGTGTGCTGATAATAGGCATGAAGAAAAAGGAGATATGAGATCTTGGATTTAAGTTGTAGATTAGGGTTGGAGGTGTGGGTGATAGTTTTCTAGCGATGGGGGGTAGAGAAGCAGACGTAGGTGGTTTTCCCATAGCAACCTGACGAAATGGGCAAACATGGTAGTCGAGAGTGTTTAAGGGTTTTCTATAGTGAGCAGGGCCGGTCATGGGCAGGGGCAATCGGGGCTACCGTCCCGGGCCTCACAAAATCCCGGGGCCCCAGCATCGAAGTTGTTATAATTATTATATATATATTAAAGAAATGAAGGAAAGGAACAGTAATCGTATCCTTATTTTGTCAAAATCGGCCCATGAAGTTACATTAACTTTTTCTCCTTCTATTTTCCTTAAATTCCCACTTTACTTAGTGTTCGGTATATTCTTCCTTCAGCCGTCCTCTTCTTTTTTCTGCTGGTCAGCGTTGAAGAATCGTCACTTTAATGTCTTTCCAGATTCTTCTGAACCGGCCACCACCTTCCACGTGTCTTATTCGTCTTCATTTGCTTTTGGATCGTTGACCTTCATTTCATTTTCGCTGTGTTTTTCTTCCTTAGGCGTCATCTGCTTTGCGTTTCTCCACCTCGATCTTCCTTTCTGTAAGGTAAAGTTTGTCTTTTGTTTTGCGCTTCTTTCTTCCGTTGTCGTCTTCTCCGTTCCTTTATTGTGGTTGTGTGGTCGTCTATGTATAGCATGGCGGTTCCGCCAAAGCGGAAGCATTGTGACGGTGCTTCGTCGTCCGGGGGTGTTCCTATCG